AATTTCATAGCAAAAAATATATATGGTGTCAAATATCACTAATGCATTTTACTCTAAATTTCATAGCAAAAATATATATAATATCAAATACTACTAGTATATTTTAATATTCTTCATATTATATACTTAAAAAACTGTATTTATAAAGTATAAATTTTTTAATTATTTAATAAAAAACACAAAAAATGTTTTAAAACATGTATTAAAACATGTTTTAAAACACAAGAAAATAAAAAACATGTTTTTTGCCATCCCTACTTCACTATAATGAGTTTGACTTGTATTAGATTTACATATTCATTATAGAGATCAGGAATTAAAAATAAAATAGTATTTTGAATAGCATTGGCTGTTGATTATTATTAACATGATCTTACACCAACACAAATTGGCTTGATTTAATACTGTAAATTGTAAAATTGTGATTTTTTTTAAAAAAAAAAATAAATAAATAAATTCTAAAAAATTTTTTTAAAAATATCGCTTATTAAATGCTATACTGATAATAGATTTGTACTTACAGAACAAACATTATAAAAAGAATTAAGATGCAAATAATAGTGAATACTTGCAATTTGACTCTCATACCTAGTATATTGAATGAATGCTCATTATACTTGCTACATATTTGTTTTGCATATTTATTAATATATTGAACGAGCATTTAAAAGCATAACTACGATTAAGGCATTTGACATCTAGATAGTAATAACTATTCTGCTAATCTAAAGATAGTTTTATTTATTCCATGCAAGAATCAAGATACCGGTACAGATTATAGCGATACAGTACTTAGATTTATTATTACCTTTTTTTGTTTTTATTTTTTTTTATTTTTAATAATACTCTTAAGCATAAAAGTGTTGGCATTCATCAATACTTGTGATTTTTTGTTCACAACTCTTTGAGTTCTGAGACCTGCATCTTTTCAAGAATGTAATTCATTCAATCTATGACTTCAGTTGGAACTATATTAATTTCTTTTGAGGGTTCAAGGTAGTTCAAAGCAATAGCCATTCCAAATACAATAGAGTTTTTCTCTGTGTTTTGATCTGTAAAAGTACGATCATTGATCAGGTTAAGGTAAGTGTATTGTGAATTGTCATCAGTATCAATGGGTTTATTTAATTTCAAATAACATTCCTGTGTAATTTCAGCATCTTTGAACCTCTGTTCCTCCTCATATATAACTTGTTGATTTTCCATTTTAGGCTTTATGAGGTCTGGAAATTCAGTATGAATAGTATCTTTGATTCTTTGGACTATGTTGCTCCTTGCCTGATGGACAAACCTTTGAGCCTATTTAATAAATAAGAGTAAGATTAAATAATTTATTACAAACTATGATTTAATTTTACTTACTAAGGAACGAACGTGCTTATTGAAAAAATGCTTTCAACCGCAATTTTTTATTTTATTTTGGAATTCATCTTTTTTTGTGTCCGATAATACATTATAGCAAACTTCCATAAGGCGTTCATTGGTCAGATACTTTACCTTCTCAATTATACCATAAATTGCATAATCGATTGCGTCCTGATACATATATTACAGACAAATTAGCAGGTTAAAATAAAGTGAAACATATGTAATTCAATATTTATGTACATACTTCTATCTACTTAAAGTTGTCTTCTGAATGACTAAAACCAATGGCTTCTAGTCTGTATGCATTTCATTGATTTTTCTTTGGATCTCTTGGATTACAGTAACCAATTGGAGTTGCACATCTTGTATATTTTTAATAGTGGAAATAAGATCTAAAAAAAAAAAATACATAAATAATACAATGATATAAAAGACTAAAAAAATGTTTATTTAACTTATGAATTCTTTTTGATGCATTTATATCATCGCTGTCTACTTGATTTTTTCACTTAGAATTAGAATTAATTAATTCGGGTTCAGAAATATCATCAGCGAATTGCTTATCATCACTTGAAAAATGATCTTTCTGACCATTTAACGTAGCGTTATCATTTTGCTCATCTAGTTGGGTCTCCATAGATCCATTTTTGGTAATCTGAGTAGAATCACTTGAAGTGCTTGGAGTGTTTGAAGCATTCAAAGTACTTGTTTGCTCCTCAGAAAGGTCAATACTGGGCAAATAATGTTGTGTATTTTTGCACTTTGATGCAGTTAATGTTCTTTTTCTTGTGCGACCCATATTTGTAAAAAAGAAATATGTATCTCTAAAATATATGTATTCTGTAATACGTACAAGGTAAACAAGATATGACTTTATTTCAATTTACTGCTTTATCCGGGCACCACCTTGCCTTATAAAGTATTATCTTTTTATTGTTTGATAAAAAATCCATATCGGTATCGATTATTAATTAAGTATTTATCCTTATCGTTATACTATAATTACATATTTAATGCATCGTATAATAATAATTATGCATCTATTAAAACTAACTCTGCTTGCATGAAAATAAACTTCTAATTTATACTAATAAGGCAATGGCATGATCATATAATATGAACGGACCTGATTTTAGTCAATATTCAGTTTGTAATAAAATATAGTAAAAGTATAATCAAAAGTTTATAATTAAAATAGAGTTTTCTCTTTTAATGACAATAAAAAAATAAGTGCATATTTTATGAAATAAAGTGGTTAACAAAGCGTGAATAACATATTGGTGGTAGATGAAAGAAGTGAAAGTAGTGTTTTTAGTGTTGAAATAAGGTAAAGATAAAAAGTAGAATGTAAAGTGTAAAATAAAGTCTTACTAATATTGTAGAGCTAATCGTTCAACAAGATATTGTCAATTGTGTACTTCAATAATCGCAGAACTATTTATTTTCCAAAATGCTCAAGTGTTTCTCTTGTAATAAAACCTTTAAAGACCGGCAAGCCTTAGGTAATCATGTTAGAAAACGCCTAGATGACAGTAATGATGATTCACCTTCCCCAAGCCAAGCAATTTCTCAAATTTTAACTAAAAGACAAACCGAAGTTCTTAATGATAGAAGCATGTTCAGATGACAAAACGTACTTGAAAACACTGAAGTAAATCATAAGAGAATATGTTTAGAACACAATTTAAACAATATTCTAGAGGAATCTAATAAAAGACCAAACCTTGATGGTTCACTTTTCAACTATACAAATTCTTCTCAAAGTCATGACGAAACTGTCAAAGAACAGGACACCGCATTTTTTAATTATTCAAGTGATTCTCACAGTAGCAACATATCAGATGATGAATCCACATTATCTAATGCAAGTGATGCCCACAGCAGCAACACATCCAATAAATGAATCTGCAGTATCTGATTTATCAGACATAACAAATACTGACATTAATAAATTTGCTGAATATAATAATTTAATTTCTAGAAAACCAAAAGGTCCTGAAGATATATACCATGAATTTCCATCAGAGGAATATGCAGAATTTATAAACATATTAACACATTTTCATGTACAAGATCTACTTGCTAATGCATTTATAAGGTATTTTAACAAATATTCTAATCATAATGATTATCCCTTACCATCAACGTCACAAGCTGGGCGGGTGTTCATTGAAAATCTTAACCTTCCAAATTTTGGCTGGAGAAAGAAAGTTATTTTTAAGTACAAAGGGTTGGAATATGTACTCGAGTTCAGGACAGTATCTGATGGAATCCACCAAATATTATTAAATAGGAGCATCACTGAAGAGTTTATATTTGATTATAAGTTGTCTATAGATAATATAATAATATAAACATATTATATAATAGTGATAATAATAGGGAACAGGTATTTTCACACACAATTTTAATATTTCTATACCCTTTGATCATGCGTATATTATTATAATTGGGCCTTTCTAAGTTAATTTTTATGTATTACCATTACTTGTTGAAGCAATAGACTCTATATATAAATGGTTGGTTACAAAATATTTATGTTAATAATTTACTATTAAAGAGTAATCCCCAAATCAGCATAATCAACATTAGAAAGGCTCATTATCATTATAGCAAAAATAAAGTATCATATTACATTATTCGATTTTTTAAAATACCTGTTTTTTAATAATACTAATAAGTGTTAACTATTTTAATTTTATAATTAAAGGTATTGGGTGAGTGTCAGTACTCCGATATGCATGATTCTGACTGGTGAAAAAATGTAGCGCAAAATCTTCCAATTGGAACGCACATAATGCCAATAATTCTTTATTCAGACACTACCCTCTGTGATCATTTAGGCAAAATGTCGAGGCATCCTGTGTTTATGACCCATGGAAACATTTCTTTAGTTCGCTGCAACAAAATTGACGCAAAAATTTTACTTGGATATATTCCTACTCTCAAATATCATAGCATATCTGAAAAAAAATCAGACAAATTTCGAATAGCGGCACGAAAACTTTTTCATAAAACACTTGCTACTATGCTTAGACCACTAAGGTCTCTAAGTAATACTGGCATTCATCTATATATCAATGATAACATTAAATGGTTCTACCCATATTTGGCACTTATAATTTCAGATTGGCCTGAAGCATCTTTGATGTGTACTATCTATGGAACACCAAATTCTTTACGTTCATGCCATTTTTGCTTAGTAGACCGTAATTTCTTGAATAATATACATCTTGAAAAAGAAAATATTATTATTCACAACGAAAATATGACCAAAGATGGTTTAAGGCAAGGTAATCAGAATAATAAAAAGAATAGTAAGCAAATCTCAGTACATTATATAAGGAATGCTCTGTGGAAGAAACTGTTAGTAATTTTATGAATTAAATAGTTTTGGTCAGTGCTTAATAATCTAAAGTATATATTAAATAATTAATTTTTTTTATATATAGATACTTTAATGTTTATACTATGTGTGTATGCCCGATTGCATGCACCATGCTGATCTAAGACTTTTCTAACATCAATTATGATTTACTGTCAAACTTTTAAAATTGAAATATGGTAACAACCCAATAAGGATTCTTGAGGAACGCCTTTCTCAGATCCCTCATTATCCAAATCTTAAAGTGTTCAAAAATGGATTCGAAAAACTTACCTGATTGACTGCAGCTGAATATCAGGCTTTAATGAAGACGATATTATTTGCCTTGGATGAATTAATACCTGAAAAAAAACTTAACAAAAGTCTGTGTGATCTTTACTCTTTATGGATCGATATGTATATGTGGAGTTGTCAAACTAAGTATACCAAATTGGATCTTAATAAATTCGAGGCAAGTTTACTTATAACAATCACTAATATAAAAAAATAAATTAAAAAAAATTAAAACATAATTAAATAAAAATAAATAAATAATAATATAGAATAATTTTATTTTTCCTTTTATCAGAGATCGATCATTGAGTGGTGTGATTTATTTATAAAACTTCTGGCGAAATTTTCACCATCAAACTTAAATTTACCCAAGTTGCATAGTTGGCGCTATCACTTAATACTATCAATTCATCAGTTTGGAGCTATTAATGGATTTACAAGTGAAACTTATGAATTATTGCATAAAACTAATATCAAGCAACTATTCCATATTACAAATAAATGCAATATAAACATGCAGATGCAAGCAACTATAAGTGTTTTTTTCTTAATAACTTATAATTATTTCACCAATGCTACATAATGTGAATATCAATATTAAATTCGATTTTACTTTAAATTTTGTAAGGTAACCTGGCAGAATATCTTTATGTTACTCGTATCAAAGTTTCAATCAAGGCCCAATAACGGCTCATATCATGGAATCATAGCAAACAAAGCTATCAGAAAGATGACGCAGCATATGATCGATCAAGTCATAAGCGAGCTAGCAAATGTGTCAAACTCAGACAATTTATGGGTGTGTGGGTTTGAAAAACTAAAATATTGTGTTCACAATTATCTTCAAAGTGTCAAACATTGATCATTACAAGATATTGAGAAAGAGGCTGTTTTAATTGAAATATTCGAGTTTGCTTATCTAGACAATAATTATAAGAAGACTATTCATGCATCTTCTAATTACTATGGACAAGTGACTTTCTCGAATATTTGTGTTGAAATAGATAAATCAGAACAAGATGAAAATATGCATAATGTTTATAGCTAACAATTATTGAGGATACTTAAACAATGTTATATAAATCTGATGAAGAGAATGTTAGAACAGAGACCCAGTAACTGTCCATCACCAAAAAACTTCTGAAGAATACAGGATGTGAACAATTTGTCAGTATATATTTTCTTAATTGATTTGTGCATTTTTTTTCTAAAAAATTTAAGCACTGTAATATTCTATTTGTTTAGTATCTTTTATTATGTTCGTTATACACATCAATCTGCTATGTTAATTAAACTCCTCTTCGAATATGATCAAAGCAAATATAAAAAGTTGCTGGATACGATTTGGGTAAGTATACTTTTTCTTTTTGTTTCTTTATTTTTTATTTTGGTTTTTCTTAACAATTACTAATATCTTTTCACAATTACAACTAACCAACTACAACAAATACTTTGTTTTTGTATAAGAGCGTCGGATCTTTTTATTTACTTATTAGATAAGTTTTCCTTTATTGTATTTGTTTTGCTTTTATATATTTTTTTCTGAATACTAATTATTCTATTTTTAGGTCTTTGCTTCCAATTTTCCCTACCATCAGTTTATTATTATCTTACCGCCAGTACTATATAACAATGGCGTTGTGGTCTTATCCTATTCTCATTTTGGTGGTATGCATGGATCGTGAGATTGTCTTGTTGATGCATGTTTCGTCTATTTTTGGTTCATCACATCAATCGGGGTGAATATACATATTTCATCTATTTTTGGTTCATAAATACGAAAAAAATTGGATCCAAATATCTAGACATTTTTCAAATATATCCAAATATTTGAAAATTTTCCATATAAAACCAAATTTTCGCTAATGTTTATGAAGTACTTGATCTTGTTGATTAGTATTGGACTATGTTCATTAGATTGGCTAATTTACAAAGACAAAAGCATGGTTAAAAAATTTAATATAAGCTATTCTATTTATTTTCATTGTGACTTTTATTACAGGTTAAAGATTCACTATGACCCAAGGCTAAAACAACATATAGTAAATTCCGGTTATTCAAAATATCGTTTTTGATTTGTCTAATTTAACAGTAATATATTAACAAAAACAATAGCAATAGCATTAAATAACTAATAAAATTTGCTTATTTTACTATTGATCTCAATAGTCATATATCAAGAATGACACTTTGGATGACCAGAATTTACTATATGTCATTTTAGCCCTATCATAACCTACATAATTAACGAACTAATATTAATTATTATACATATTATCAACCCCACTATTTTATTATTTAATTAAAATGAAATTATATCTACTTATCTAATCGGTTAGTTTTATCCCTTAAACTGTAGGCTTTTCCAGGCAAATTTGCCTGGAAAATTATCATAAATATTGTTATGATCTACTTT